AAATAAACAAAAAAAGTTAAATAAAATAATTCTTAAAAAAAAAAAGAGTAAAACTATAGCTTGTCACTAAAAAATAAGGGTCATCATTTATGATCACCACTGCTTTTATTAATTAATGTAGTTTTTCTCCTTTTTAATCCCTGTTTTGATCACCAGGAATACTACCATTAATATTTCCAAACTAATGTTTTACTTTGTGATTTCTAATTGTCTCTGTATAGAAGAGAGTGCCTGCATTTATAAAATAAGCGTGTAATTTTGAATGTTAAGTTATGCTTTTTCTGTTATACTTAAGTAGTATTAAAGTAGGTCACAAACTGGGGTGTTACTGGGGCACTTCTCTGGTGAGTTCTCTAGGCAGTATTGTTCTAGGCAAAATCGCTCTCCTTACACATAATACTGGGAGTCAGACATCAGCCCTTTTTCCTTGTTATCGCCTTTCAGTGACCCTTTCCGTGGTAATAGGATCTGGGGCACAGCAGGTTCCTTACCTAAGTAGGAGAGGATACTGTAAAGTATGCAAGCCTTCCATTCCCTTATCCCATCTCTATTTTTTGTTACCTCCTTGGCTTTAATGATGGTATCAAAAGGACTTTTTGTTACTAGTTAAAGCCTTCTGTGAAGCTCAGTTTCAACTGCTACTCCCTTCTGTTCTAATTACCCTTTTAACTTGCTACTCCTTTATGTCCCACTGGCTGGTCATTAGCCATTTTCTCAAATCAGCTGTAATTGATTCGTCTGACATAGAGATAAGACCCACCCAGCATTCAGGAGTGATTCTGTGTGCTCCTAGCTTTACTGTAAAAGCTGAGATAAAGGACTGCATCTGTTTTGGTAATGAGTACATGTGTATTCTTATAAAGTCATTTGATTACATCCATAACCAGCACCTGACTTCTCGAAGTATGACCGATTTTCATTTATCACAAAAACCAATAATCCCATTAAGAAAAGAACAGAGGGACCAACAGAGGGCCTAATGAATATGTTTCTGGACTCTCACATGGCTGCAGTTAGAGTCTAAGACCCCGCGGCTTGAAACTCATGCTAGGGTGCATATGGGTGCATGCCCAAAATCCCAAGAGGAGAATGGTGGAGAAAGGATTGCGGGTGGCCACCTCCCTTGGGGGTGATTTCTCGCTTTCTGTCTCTTTGTTTCTCCAACAGGTACATACACCCTGTAGGAAAAACAAACAAACAAACAACAATAACAAAAAAAACCAACAACTTTCTAAAAAGGGAAGAAAAGAAGAGGACTTTGGGAGAAGTGTGTATATGTGTGTTTCTGTGTGTGTGTGTTTAACAGATAGACTTTTTTTAGAGCAGTTTTAGATTTTAGAGCAAAATTAAGCAAAAAGCACAGAGCTTTTCCCTATACCTCCTGTCCCACGCATACACGGCCTTCTTTGTTCTTGTCATCCCCCGCCACAGCACTGCCTTTGTTTTGACTGATGGACTCTTGTTGACATATCATCTGTTCTTTCTTTGTTTTGATCTGGAAGTTTGAAAAGCAACAGTGTTCTGAAAGAAAGTTGGTGGGATGTTTGGGTGATTCTTCATGTATGGAGCCTGTCGTGCGTTTTATTTGGCACACCCAGTGTAACTCAACCTCAGTCCATACAGTATTCCTTCTTGATAGCATTCATTTTTCATATTGTGGGACAAATTACAGGATAAGTAACTACAAAAGGCTGTGAAATATTTTTTCACTGTATTAGGATTTGTGACAAAGTTATATCGTTCTTGAAGAAATCGCTTACAGTATGAAAACAGGCCCACCCGTGGTGGCATACAGGGGGCACCATTGCTTGGGTGATTCGAAGCCCCATGGGTGGCCTGGGTTTGGTTGTTGGGCTCACCTATACACTGGGCACAGCCATGTGCACTTTTAACCCTGGGCAATTGCAAAGCTGGGCCTGGCGGATCTTGAAGGCGGAATCTGTCAAAAATACTTACCTGTCTCTCTTTCCC